AACAATCAGAAGCTGAGAGCGAACAATCAGAAGCTGAGAGCGAACAACCAAAAGCTGAGAGTGAACAACCAGAAGCTGAGAGTGAACAACCAGAAGCTGAGAGTGAACAATCAGAAGCTGAGAGTGAACAATCAGAAGATGAGTGTGAACAAGCGGACTGCATGTCTGAGTTTGTCAGCCAGCCGTGTGAGGCCTGCCTTACCTTCAGCTCCAATAGAAACCAGCTTCACTCCTTTACTGGCGATGAAGTTCAGAGCTTTGTTAACGTTGGAGATTTTGTGAACTCTCATTTTGCCTCTCTCTGGTTTGGCCAGACGTTCCCCTGAAAACAAAGCAACAGCAACTCGTCGTTCACAGGTTCTCGTCTGTACTTTTTAACTCCTCTGTGGTTTACAGAAAGGCCTCCATTGTTCAACGAAAGTTTCTATCGAGGTTCCCTGCAGCTCTTTAGGCAGAATGTAGCTTGTTATGAGCACAAGAACCAACACCTGACCGGGGCCTTAGAACGGGTCAGACTCAGTAAATCTACACTGTTTATTACCACCTGAACCTCTACCCAGTACCTACGAGGATCGGTTCTGAAGCACGTACTGTGTGGAGTCAGTGAAACATCTATTTCTTTATATCAGACAGTGACTGCAGACTCTGTCTTCAGCAATGAAACGTGTCATTAAAATGAAACAAACATAACATTACATAAATAAATGTTTTAATTTCCTGAATTGACTGTCTCTGTTGACGGGTCTTGTATCGAAAACAACTATTGTGTGTTGATCCAGCTGTTCCAAGTGTTGGCTGAGGTGAGGGACTTCTCACCTGAGATGACCTCCAGCAGCAGCATGAGTTTCAGTCCATCCCTGAAGTCCTCCTCGATGTTCTCGATCTGCGTCCCGGCTTTCCTCAGGTGAGAGTTGCACCAAGCAGTGAACGTCTGCAGAGGAGAGACACTACCACCATCAGTCTCAGAGACCACTAACAGAAGAGTCAGCATGGACGTCACGTTTGGAGGTAAAGAGGTTTTTATTGAGCCTGGATGGACTTTGTGTGTTTCTTCTTCCTTTGGAGACTTTAAAACGACTCAGGTTTGATCAGAGACAGAAATCATCATCCCATCAAATATACAGTCTTATTCCTGAAATCTAATTCTTTGATCAACACTATATTTAAAAAGCTTTTTTATTTTAAATGCTAGTTTTCTTTATCGGAGCTACCATGAGAGGGCCCACTGTGCACCCTGAAAACACCTCCATTAGTTCCTGGGTTCATTAGCTCCAAATCTAAACAGCAGGCTCCATGCAGGAGAACCAGGAAGTGATGAAAACCAGCATCGTCTCCCAGGGGCTCGCTGACAACAAGCCCACCTGAAGTTACCTGTGGAAGAACTCTAGGGTCAGAAGGAACTTCCACATGAGGTCTTAATCAGAAGTTCACCTGAGACCTTCAGAGAGGAAGAATCAGATCTTGGATGTGTCCTCATCCCTGAGTTGAGAGGATGGAGAGAAAGACATGGGAGAAACATCCATCAGAAGGTTTCACAGCCCCTCAGCTCACAGCGTATAGGATCCTGCCGAGTTCCTCGTGATCTGAGAGATGTTAAACAACTTCACCAGTATCCCATCAGAAGCAGAACCGAGGCAGAGCTGTGGTGTCAGCAGCAGGCCTGGGAACTGGTTAAAAGTTTAATCAGCAGAGACAGAACCGCATCTGCAGCTGGAGATCCTCAAATGTACAAGTTACTCCTGCTGTTCCTCTGTTCCACTTCTTCATGTCTGAAGGCTTCAGCACTGACCCTGCTGCAGGGCCAGGTGTGGATGTTCAGAACCGGCTCCGTGTCTCCTTCAGGGAAACATGCCCGTCAGCATCAACAAGAAGCTCGAGGCACGCCAACGTGATTAAACCCACTTTTATTAACTACCAGCAGAGACAATAAAACCGTAGGCAACGAGAAAAACAAGATGTTTATCTACTGCTCCCCCCTCAGAAGATCCATTTCAACGTTGGAGTTTCCAGCAGTCTCACGTTTAACGATGGCAGCAGATTTAATGTAGAAGAGCTAACGAGGTGAACTGAAAAGTTTTTATTCTGCTTCCACAGGACGGATTATAGAAACCTCTCTGTTGACTAAAGTCACGTGCAACCCGTCACATCGGACCAGGACCAGCCCACAAACTGCTCTGCTGGGCTACAGGAGCATCGGTTGGTCTTCAGTTATTGAATTTTGTCCAAATCTGATCAGTCATTTCTGAAAGAACGGCCTGAAATAAAATCTTAAAGAATGTTTTGAAGCACTTTTGTGAGCAGAACCAACAAAGAACCAGAACTCGTGCAGTAAAGCCCAGAATTTTCTCTACTTTCTCTGCGAGCTAGTAAAGCTGTTTTAATACCAGCTGGATCGAAATCTGGTTCGAGGTTCCTTCTTTTACTTCTTGTCAATAAATCCAGATTAGAAGATGCTAAAACCAGATTCAGACCAGTCTTAAATGGAGCTCTGCCGTTACCTCTGGTGGCGTAGCAGAAATAAACTTGTTAGAATGACATTGATCTTAGTTTAAGGATGAAAAATAAAGAATAAGTTTCATTTAACTGGTCGTCAGCCGTTGGAGCTGCTGGTCCATTAAAGCAGCTTTATTGTACGAACGTTGGAGCCTCGCTGCTTCCAGGGAAGGAAAGAGTCTGTTCTCTGTTAAATCACTTCCTGCTGCCTCACGTCCACTCTCAGGAGTTCTCGAGGACAGAGCGCCGTGCGCCAGGAAAGCAACCAGGAGCTCGGTCAGATCTAAAGGGACCCTGCAGGGCTGGACTCACAGGATGAGGGGGTTCGGTTTCTGGTAAATAATGAGGAAACAACCGGACTGCAGAGCAGAGGGCTGAACGCACTCAGGTCCACTTCATCAGCTCCACTCGTTACATGACTCGTTAACATAAAGATCCAGTCAGCCAATCACAGGACAGCAGCTCCGTGGCTTCAGGTAGACGTGGAGAAGACGACTTGTTGAAGGTCAAACGGGGAACTAAGAGGATTTCAGTGACCTTGAATGTAACGTGCTCGTTGGTACCAGACGGGCTGCTCTGATTATTCAGAACCTGCTGAGATCTTTACACACAACCAGCTCTGTGGTTTACAGAGAATGGTTCAAAAGAAGAGGGAACCTCCAGCCTTGTTGATGGCAGAGGTCAAAGGTCAGACTGATTTGAGATGACAGTAAGACAACAGGAGCTGGTTCCAACAAAGGTCTGCAGAACCATCTCTGGACCAGAACACGTCCAGCCCTGAAGCAGGTGGTCTCAAAGACCATGCCAGGTGTCTCTTCCTGTCAGCTGACAACAGGAAACTGACACTTCCTGTCAGCTGACATGCTCATACTTTTCATGTTCATACTTTTCAGTTGGCCAACATTTCTAAAAATATATTTTTTTATTGATCTTGAGTAATATTCCAATTTTCTGAGATACTGAATTTGGGGTTTTCATTAGTTGTCAGTTATAATCATCAACATTAAAAGAAATAAACATTTGAAATATGTCAGTCAGCGTGTAATGAATGAATATAATATACAAGTTTCACTTTTTGAAGGCAATTACTGAAATAAATCAACCTTTTCATGATATTCTAATTTTATGACCAGCACCTGTAATAGTTTGACTAAACCCGTCAGTAGCAAATGTCTCTGGATGAAGTCGTGAACAGAAGTGGTTCAGTGTGACCGCTGCACCACCGTGCAGTTGGGAGCTCTCCTGCTCTTGAAGAAGAAACGCTGTGATGGAGCTGCCAGGTGCTGACTCAGCACTTATCTGCTGCTGCTTCAGCACACATGGGGGGGGGGGTCGTTACCACAGAGCCCTGCTCATCACTCTCTGCAGGGACAAGTACAGATGTAGAAGGAAAACGTGCACACTTCCTGCAGCAGCCGGTGCAACCAGCCTGCAAACTCGCAAACTGTTTAAAGGCTGCACACACACAGGACCAGTTCAACAGAAGCTCCTGGTCCAGCAGAACCAGAGTACCCACACCTGATCCTAGTTCAACATCCTCTGAACTCTCAACAGCTGTCTGGATTTATCACCCACTGCTGTAGTGTTAGCAAAATATCTGCTGTATAACTGAACAGAATACGATCACCTTTTGGAGTCAACCCCAACTCAAGATGGCTGCCACAGCTAGAAGACAGATGAGGAGGTGAAGTTTAGGTGGTAGTAGATGAGAGTGGTCCTCAGCACACCGGGCGATGTGCATTTCTCAATGTTTTATTTTTACAGATCTAATTGTTATTTCTGACAAACTTAAATGTTTTTATTTGATCTGGATTCTGCAACAATTTGAAGCTTTTAGTGAAGGACAAACATTTATAAATAATATCAACTACGAACCCTTTAGTCTCTACCTCAGTGCAATAAAAATTATTTACTTTCTGTTTAACCTTGGCTGTAACGGTTCCAGATGTGGGACAAGGTCCTGACTGAAGTCTGGACAGGTTCTGAGCAGGTTCTGATCCAACATGCAGCTCCTCCGCTGGTATCTCAAAAACCCAAATTGGATGCAAATCCCTGAGCAGATCTATTCAAATAGAGCGCAGGAATAAAACAGGCTCTGCAGCTCTATGTGGACATGTGTCCTCCTGCTGTCCTGCTTCAGGACCGTCCCGCTGCACAAAAGGACACTCTGTCCAGAACCATAAAGAACTGAAGCCCATCAGAGACAACCCGTTTTACATAAACACACATAATAACCGTTTCAGACTTGATTTTGTCTGTTGAATGTGTTCAGAAGGATTCATACTCAACACGTGGTCCACTAACAGAGGTCCACAGCGTGATGTCATCAAGGAGCGACGGCAGCACATCGTCCACTAACAGAGGTCCACACCATAATGTCATCAAGGAGGGATGGCAGCAGATGCACGTTTTGTTGCCAACTGTTAGTGTTTGTTTACATTTATGTTTTTAATGAGTGGAGGAAACCAGAACCCACAGAACGAAAAGATCACGAGCCAAACCAGAACTTTAAGGAACCCATATTCATCAATCCATCCACTGATTCTGGACTCAGATCTGAGGAGGGAGGTCCAGACACCCATTCCTGTTCTACTGGGAGGACTCCAAGTTATCCCCAGACCAGCTAAGTAACAGATCATCCAGCATGTCCTGGGTCTCCTCCCAGTTGGACTCGTTCAGATCACCTCTTTAGGGAGGCGTCCAGAGTCCATCCTGACCAGATATCTGAACTAAAGCCCAGCTGATAAATCAGTAGGGCAGATATTTTACGCAGATAGACGTTTGGGGACATATCGTACCTGTGATTATTGGCCCATTATGATCTGATATAAACACTGGGAACGAGCCGTGTCCTTACTTGCAAAGGCCATAATTGTACAGTGTATCCAGCAGAGGGCGCAAGAAGACCATTTTCAAGTCATAGCTGTTCACTTAAGTTTCACTTTCATGTTCAGCACAGCCGAAGCAGGGAGCAATACTGTGTAGCATATTTTGTTGAACAGAGCATGGTAAGTTTATTTTAACTGATCTGTAAAACAAATCAACAATAATGAATTATCTTGAATCCTCCAACCTGCTTGTCATTAGCTACATGCCTCTCAAGTTAGCAAGCTAACGTTTAGATAACCTAGCATAGGCTATTGCCTTGTAGAACTTTATCCAGAACAATAAATCTAACGTAGAGGTAAAATATATCAGAGTTAGTAACCTTATCTTTGTCGTCCTCAATGAAATACATTCTCTGAAATCTTTACTTCTCTGCAAAGAAAAAAAAAAGTGCTGTAGTCAATACTAATTAGACCTTCACCATGGCGTGTTCTTTCTAATGATCTGACTGCAGCTGCAGACCCAACTCAGAGCAGACGAGCTGCGTGGACAGAACCGGTTCTGACTGAAACGTTCAGGGGTAAAAAGACAATTCATTAAAAA